TTTTTTAACAAGAATATAAATATAAAAATGTTGGCGAAACTAATATAAGTTATTATACATAAACATAAGAAGAAGATATAATAGCAAAAGGATATTGTTTACAACTTGTAAGAATTGTTCAACTTGAAGTATGGATAAGTTGGACCGTCTTAAATAAAAAAATTGAGCATGAAACTGATTAAAATACTTTCTTAACCGGATTACAACAGAACTTCGTGTAATGATCTTGTCATTGCAAAGTCTGAGAGACTTCCATATCAACAGTGTTATCGTAGCCTCGGATTGTACCGCAATGATTAGTGCGCTTTCAAAGCCGACAGAGTGGCCGAGATATCGTGTTCTCATTGATCAAATACTCCGATTGAAGGCAGGGTTTGAATGGTGTTCCTTTGAGCTGGAATCGACGAAGGCAAACAGAGTTGCTAGAGAGATCTCTTCAAATGTGACACGGGATGGGAGATTTCATTCATATATCTTGCACACGGTGGTCTAGCTTGGTTACATAACTTACTTGCACAAGAAGCTTTATAAGAGCATCATTAGTTCCCTTGTCATTGGGTGCGATGCTTTTGGTTTGTACTTTTCGGTTTTGGTTTCGTTGCACTATGCTTACCATTCTGCAGAATATTTTTCATTTATTTTTTTTGGTGTGCAAATTGCGATCCAATGAAAAAACTCAAAATATTACGAAATTTTAAAATCAACCACTCTTAGAACAACTGATAAGACCAGAAGATGTTATGAAGATATTCAAAAAAAAAATCAGTCATGCAGCATCAAAAGATCTTATCGGATGACAATACACAAAATTGGGAGAGTATACCGCAAAATCAAGATACTGGTTGAGTACACATCTATCGAAACAAGAGATCATTCAACCTCATTTGGGTGCAACAACTTTGAAGGAGGCAATTTAAAAAATACATATAGCATCACCAAAGATTCATCCTTTTCTATGGAGAGTACTTTCAAAAGCGGTGGTTGTGGGCACGGTTCTCAAACATCGAGGAATTACTTCAAACTTTCAACTGATACCAACGATATTGATATGCGGATGAATCACTTGATGATTTGTTTTTTTTTTCAATGTGGATATGCACACTCAATTTGGCGAAGTTCACAACTTGCAAATCCAACTCAATGGATACGACTACTACAGTAGAAGATAAGCTTCATATTCATAATAACAAAAACCTTTCAAGCTTGATGCGCCAACTACCATTATGAAGAATTTGGAAGAGTAGAAAACTCTTAGAAGGTGCTATTCAATAATTGATTTAAAATTAATTCCATAGGTTATGTTACCACCTTATATTTGTTACATACTCATCACATGGTTTCGAATGAAGAAAAAAAAAACTCAAAATGGGCTTAAGCATTTTTTTCTCAGAGGCCCAATAAACAATTGAGTTCTTTTAAAAACACCGTCGTTTTAACTTATGAAAAGTGTCATCTCTATCTATCGTCATCCTTATCCTTGAAGCTTTTTCTTTCATCATTTGTTGTGCCCTCCAATGGCTACTG